GTTATAGCTGGTAGCGTCTGGTCAGTGGATTTAAAGTATCTTACGTAGATAGCTGTTTATAAATAACTGTACTTCTTTGATAATGATAGTTGTAGTAGTCCTGCAAGTTTCAGCTCCAATATCTGGAAATGTTTTGACGTTTGTGCTGAAAATTCCGACTTTGATGTTGACTGATAGTTGTTTTGAGTTCCAGATACCCTCCAGTTGTAATAATGTAACCCTAGTCAGTCTATTCAAGAGTTCTTCGAAGTGTTTTACCCACCTGTTCTTCTCCTTTTGATCCTTAGTGATTGGTTCTCCTTTTTTATCGCTAACTAGTCGTTCTTGTGAACCATATTTTACTACTAGTCTCCTGATTATATACTGTTGTTCGGCCTAAATGTTTATTCATGCTTATGTGATCGATCTGGTTCTCCATAGTGTGGTCCGGTGAAACCAATGTAGATTTGTGAGGGAAAATACTACCACCTATATCTTTATTGAAAGCATATAGGTTCGTCAATCTCTCCTGATTATTGTTCCTTTCTTCCAGTTCATATCATCTCACGATGCATTTACACTCGGCGTTCTCCATTTCGGCTTTGATATTTCTTTACTCTATCAGGATAGTCAAGTGTTTTTCTGGGCATTTGTATAGAATGGACTACAGCCTCTCAAAAGTTTGGTGTTTATCATCATCACTGCGATCAGTAGTGGATGCATAGTACCGGATGACATTCATTGTGATCTTTTCGTTTTTTTTTTCATTTAAAGGATTTTTGGTTATCCTGAAGTTATAAGTTTGCCGTCTAATAAGCGATCTTTGTGCTTCTTTTGACAGCGTCAGGAAGGGCACCGGTCTCGAAACTTCCGGAGGGGTGGCTTTTACCGTGACATGTCCTTTTTTTTCATCTGAAGACCGTCCAACTCCCAGGACAAAATTTAAATGTTTTTTTTCTGGTTAGTCTTTTTGGTGAGATTGTTTTTTATAAAGTGAGTTTGTTAGTCGTACACCTGAACCTCTCGCTTATCCCAGGCATGGGATGTGCAGTAACTCTAGAGGGGCTCAAGGTGTATTTTGCACAAAAACTGATTACTCATAATGAAAGCCGAAAAGATCGTTTTATGTATACTCAAATGATTGAATTCATTCTTCAAGATGTCAGTTTAAAAAGATGACATATTATTTATGATACACATAAAATGCCTTTTACAAATGAAGGGAATATACAAAACTTACCCTAGTTCTGGATTCCATCTGTATGACATGTGTGAAGAAGTATCAAGAATGCCAACCGCTCTTGATTGAGATATTGAGGTATCAGATGGAAAAAGAATGGGAGGTATGTATAACGAAGTACTATCTGATGGTGAACGAGTCACTCCATCGAGATAATTGAGTAAACGCACTTGATGTGTACCTAAATGATGATGATAGTGATAATGATGGTGTGATCGCGGAATAGTGGTGTCATCTGGTGATGCATTTAAGTATTCATCATCTAATCGAAATGTAGTGGATAAATTATTCACTCGATTACGTCGGTTATTATTTGGTAAATCAGATACTAATAATTCAGTGAATTCTGTATCAGACAGAACAGAATGAATAATTTTTTGAGCCAAACGTTTACACAATGGACAAGAAGGATTGATACAGAGCCAACGATAAATACAATCATAACAAAACGTATGCATACAAGGTAAAACAACACAACGATTTGATTTCTCACATAAACAGATTACACAATCGTCGTCACTTTCAAGACCAGTGGATCTAGCTGCTGCTAGTGCCGCCCGAACGTCTGGGCAATCAATAAGACTTTGAGAGCGCCTACTATTGTTTGTACGTGGTGGATGGTTGGTAGATGGAATGTTCGTAGAAGGTACGGAACGCGTGTTTGTTGCTGACAGGCGACGTGTGGCTCTTCTTCCAGACCTGGTGGTACGTAAACGTCCAGGTCTGTTACTGGAATCAAGGTCTTCAGTGCGAGTTAATTGGATACTATCATCGTTAAAACTCTCCAGGTTTATTCTAACACTTTCAGTGGTCGACTCATTCTGATATGAAGGACTTCCATGAGAGGAGAACAAAAGCTGAAGAAATGGAGAACGGACGAAAGTGCGTCGACGACTTCGACGAGGAAGAGAAGCTGGAACATTGAGATTGCTCGGTTCTAGGTTATCTGATAAACCACGACTACGTGATCTTGGATTAGCAGTAGAACGCTGAAAATCACGTAGAATACAACAAATATATAGGTGAGGTAACGGTAGAGTAGGTAAAAAGTAACTGAGATTTCTAAACTATATAATCAGATCAGCTTGTTCTTGAGAAGAGGAAAAAATAACAAAGTATATAAAAACCAGAATTGGAGTTATACATTTTTCTTTAATCTCAATATCAGCTTTACCCAAAGATTGACATTCAGAATAGAAAACCTTGTGTTTTTCCAAGAAGACGTTGGAAAATACAGTAGTGATATGTATAAAAGCAACAAGGATTATCATGAAAAGTTAAGAGATAATTATTACAGAGAGCAATAATCAGAATTTAGTAACATTCCAATCTACTACAAACTAGGACATTGTGTAACAAGCGAAAGTATCCACTCCAGTGATACCTGAGAAAAATGTTTAAAAAAAGTAAATGACCTAATCAAATTAAAGATTCGAATAGAAGATAAATCCACAAATAAAATAACTCAGAAAACAAATGATCTAACACAATGCGATATTTACACCAAATAAAATGTTTAGGAGTAGAGTTCTAGATTTCTTAGTTTTCAAACCATACAAGAATAAGTCATTGATAATGTAAGCTCTTTAAGTGTGATTTACGTAACTAGCTTTAAAGCAATCACGTGAGCATTCACGAAGTCACTGATATTACCTTGTTCTTCATTTGCTGTGTTAGGGTTAGTCTGGTTGGAAACTTAACATGTGGTTTGGTCACAGTGAATGTCATTTTTGATTAATCTAACTTAACCAATAACATTTGTAGTTTAAATAAGGACTTTAGTGATTTTCACACTGAATACTAGCAAGATAATATAAATATCGATGGAAATAATAACTTCATATACTAGAAAAATCCTTTACTCGTTATTTTTTTATTTATCTTAACACACAGATATTGGTACAAGGAGGCATCAAATACATATGCGCCACACAGATCTAATTTGATATGTGTGAGGGCTGTGATACTGCCGGGTGCCCAAACCGAAGCAGGTGGTCTTCTTAGGGAGCCAAACCCGGAGCTTTCGACCTGAAGGTCTGATCCACAAGGCAGTGGAGAAACGTCAGGAAATGCAGTCCCATGGTTGTCGGTGACCAACGATCAATTCATACGTCATTTGTTCCTTCAGGATACTGGAGCCCATGTGCACCATTGGTTTGGAATCAGGGTTTTCCAACTCGCCTAAGTGGACTCTCAATGTCCACCAACCCGGTTAAAGCGCCGGACATTTGCTTTTCGTCCTCTCAATTTCGTAAACAACACTCCCGCCACGAGAAGGCAGAGAGTAGGACTTCCTGACAGGGAAATCCTTTATTCATTGCGAAATATTAACTAGATAAAGTTTAGATATGAAGAAATTTATTAGTACCGTGGTATTTGTGCTAAGCTCCAAGCTGAATGATATTGTGTGAATGACAATGACACTACCTGAATAACTAGTTTAATGTGGGTATACATTGAACCCGTACTCATAGATAAAATTTTCTAAAATTAGCGTCACTGATAAATGACTTAATTTATATTGTAAAGTAACAGTACTTCTCAATACACCGAAAATAAATACTATTGGTTACAAGTATGGATAATTTGCAACTGAAGACACTGTTCGATCAGTTTTGCAGACTTTTTATAACTATCTAAATAATTAACAAACAATATCTAAAAATATTTATGTAACACGCTACTAATAAATAAACACTGAGTATAATATTACAAAATAATTAAACTAAAAAGACATTTCATCAAGCGTTAGGACAGTATAGAATTGGCTAAACTTGTTTACATTAATTATCGACTCAGGTAACGCTTGTGAAGCAGAGAATTAAGAACAAATCTACAGTATCTTGCTTATATCTTAGTATTCAGAACTACTAAGTTTATGTAGAAAATAGATGGAAACTAACCTGGGACAGATGATGAGTTCGGTCTATTCTACGAACCTGACGTGTTCGTCTTGTTGGTGGAGGTGGTGAACGTGACGAATTACTGGATGATGATGAAGAAATGAACGACGCTCCCACAGGCCTCGATCGACTCAGTAGACGATAATGCAATGTATCAATAGAGGCTTCTGGACAGTCAACATGCTGAACAGCATCTGTTGTTACAACATCACCCTGGCGTCTGGAGGCATGAGGCAAGGCTGCGGCTCGACGTCGGCCATACATAGTTCGAACAAACGTGCAGTAATGCACAAAATAGGTATTAAACTTTGGGACTAGACTATAGAAAGCATAAATGGGAGTTAGATCGTACGACATGATAAATCAAAGAAAAAATTTAAAAAATAGGTAACTAATTATTTATTTCAATTTTAAATAATTGATGAACAACAGGAATGATTTATGTTTATATTTTTCAAGATAAGAAATCTAAAATTTGGAATATACAGTTAATAATTTACTTTAAACATCGCAACGATAAAGCAAAAAATACATTGCAGTTCAAAAGATGAAGAGAAATGTAAAATTGAGTGACTTAAGAGCAATGATGCGAGGTAATACAGATACTCTTGAAATGAATACGAATAGCAGTTGTAGTACTTATAATGTTTCAGCCCAGGGATTTTCGTTTAGAAAAGCTTGTACAACCTCTCTCATAGACAAATTTGGTATAAGCTGATCTTCTATCAATGGTTGACGTGAAACAGGATCAAAGTGTCCAACTTGGCGCAGGTGAGATATAATTGACGGCCGATCATAGGTAATTCCACAAGGTGTGATTACAGGATCTCGCATTAGATCAAAGCTAATACGACCACAAAGGTAGTCTGGAATCTCACGTTTTTTTCGGCGTTCGTCCACCTATAAAATAGTAAGTAACTTACAATTTATTTACTTCGTATGCTAAGTATAAAACAAAAATGACTTTCTACACTGCTTAATCAACCAAATGAAGCATTTTTGTGATGTCAGTAGTAAATAAAACCAACTTTTATTGTATGTCTGCTATCACTTATGATTGCACTGCATTTTGAGATATTTCAATGAGATGACGTATCGAAGTGCCTTAAAAAAGAGACTCAATGCTCAACCGTAAATCATATCAATAAATTACTTGGCACATGGAAATAACAGCATACAAAATATCAAGTGTTCGAATTGATCATACATTTGTTTATTCCATTTTATATGATGTGTATTTGTGATACTTGATATGGAGGAATTCTTTACAACAGCACTGTCATAAATTAGTACATCAAATCAACAGAAGTTTTTTAGCTATACCTTCTAGTAAATGTTTACATTAAAGCCCCAGTATATAATTCGGAAGAAGAGACTTTGGTTGGTATGGTAACCAGAAAAAACAACTATTGATGAAGGGATTAAACTACAAGTGGGAAGTGAAAAATACAAATTGGTAGTGTGATAACAGGTGCATTAGTTTTGATAAGAATAATAAAGGTTCGAATCAATGCTACATAATCGGAAATAGGTCAATGATTAGAAAAATATAGACAGTGAGATAACATTTATAAAATGACGTAATAAGGAGTGTTCAGATAATTGGACCATGAAACGTATAGTTGAGAGAAAATAAACTAAAATGGCAGGAGGGGGTGAAGAAAAATAATAAACGAAGATAAACTCTTTGAGAAGTCCGTTTTCTAATTTCGCCAGAAAAAAATCCGCAAGCATGGGACCTAGTGGCTAGAGGTTATCAATAAACTGGATTTCTACTGTCGTTACGTTGATGATTCTTTCATCATTGCCGATCAGAACATTAGAGAAGAACAACTACTGGAACGATTTAATAACAAACATCCTGCTATTAAATTTACATGTGAAGAGGAAATGGATAACAAACTAAATTTCCTGGACGTTTTGTTAAGTAGAAAAGAAAATGGTTCTATCAGCAGGTGTGTATAGGAAAAGTTCTTCTCCAAGCCAATACACACATTTTTTAAGCTTTGTGCCTCTTCATTTTAAAGAGAAAATTAGTCAAATGTCTTGCAAATAGAGCTATTAAGATATGCTCAGTTGACACAATTGATAGGGAATTAGAGCACATTCATAATATGTTGATTGAATTGGGATATCCACTGGGGTCCCTGAAGAAACACTTGCGGGTACAAAACAAGAAAATAGTGACACTAACGGCTAATAAAAAACCTCTTTTCTTGAAGCTGCAATTCAATGGTGATGTATTACGTGATAGACTGACTAGAGCAGTAAGGAGAACGTTTCATGCTGCCAACCTGTCTATCGTATTCGACCCGATCTATGGTGATTCTCCAACCGAAGGATAAGTTACCTGGTTATGCCACTTCTATGTGTATCTACGAATTCAGCTGCTCCTGTGGAGAAAGCTATATTGGACGCACTACCAGGCAACTGAACCAAAGAGTTAGTGAACACCTCCCTTCGTGGTTAGGAAAAGGTAACTTCAAGACAATACGCAGCTCAGTTCTATCATACTTGATCGATAGCGGTCATGTAGTGGACAGAAACAAGTCATTAAAAATTATTTATCGTATTCCCGCTAGTTTTCCTTATGGTGTTCGATCTCGTCTCTTACACATAGCAGAAGCTATGGGAATTCGAGCCAACAAGCCAAGTCTTTGTGTTCAAAAGAAATTTGTAACACCCTTATCTCTCCCTTGGCCTTAATAAATGAATTTATTTATTATTTTTTCAAACTTTCCCTTCGTTTATTATTTTTCTTCACCCCCTCCTACCATTTTAGTTTATTTTCTCTCAACTATACGTTTCATGGTCCAATTATCTGAACACTCCTTATTACGTCATTTTATAAATGTTATCTCACTGTCTATATTTTTCTAATCACTGACCTATTTCCGATTATGTAGCATTGATTCGAACCTTTATTATTCTTATCAAAACTAATGCACCTGTTATCACACTACCAATTTGTACTTTTCGTTTATTATGTAATCGTTCTCATTGTTAACCATTGTATCATAAACTACCTTGATTGGTTTAATAATTTCATATATGCATATAAATATTACTGTATATTAGAAGTAAAGCCTGATGAGGATGTATTCGAAAACAATATTGTTTGCTTATATATGTTGTTCAAATTTTACAATATGGGAATATTTCAAATTTTAAACTACAAGTGACATAATAATTTCAAAGACACCGTTGATGAGAAATCAGTACTCGATAATGACGATTCCGACTTTCTTTGAAGGTATCAGAATAGGCAATGAAAAAAATTGACTAAATTTTCAGTTATGAAATGATCATTTTCAAACAAAATGAGCAAATTCAAATCCCATTTTTCAGCTCCTACTGCGATACTGATGATGAATGGTGACTAACTACATATCGTGGAATTTAGGTTTGAAATAATTCGAAGGTTTAAGACATAACTGTTACGGACAAATGAAGCAATATATAAACCTCAATTCTTATTAAAAATACCAGATCACCAAGATTAAATGTATTACAGTACAGATACACGTACCAATATTTGTTCCAGATTCTAGATTCTCTACAGTCGACTCAATGTAGCCGTGGAGGCTATAAGTGTACTGCTAGTAAAGTGAAAACTATGTATAGTACACTATACTATACGGTAGTCTAGTCTGTATGATTAGTTCGCATATTAAAGAACTACCTGGCTAGGATTCCATATCCAGAATTCGTGGGTGAATGTGACAAGCCTTCTAAATCTACTTACTGGGAAACAACATTCCAAATATATGATTGCATACATAACACGTGATGTGGCATCAAAATCCTTAGTATAATACAATTACCTACCTTACAGAACAGTTCATTAAGCTCTGAAATGTATTTTTGAGCAGTATTATCTATTTTCGAAAGAATTTCTTGGTACTTTGGTGAGATGTTTTCAAAATTGTTATCTTCGGCTGATAACAAATCAATAGACACGTTTTTGGTTGGCTCGACATTTGGTAGAGAACCATTGATTCCAGACAATTTAGATAGAATCACTTGTTTTTGACGGGCAGCATCTTCCATGATTAAGTTGTTTAAATAAACCTGCGTCAAAAATAAAAGTAGGCAATATGAACGCCATTAAGGCCACGAGAAATAGGAGTAGCTAAAAGATGTAACAGATGTAAGATAATGAGGTGATCATTCACAGAATTGTTTGAGTTAATCTAACACTCCATAAACGATAAGTAGGTGTTTATATGCTGGGCTTTGAGAAACAAATTTTGTATGTTTCACAGGTAAAAGGTAGCAATATTACGCGGCTCCTCAAAGCAACTCATGTTTTAAATATCGTCATCACATGACGAAGTGATGCGACAATAAAGAGATATTATCTTACCTTGATTTCAGTAATGTCACATTCAAAAGTCATCATTAGAGACACAAAGAATGGCGAGGTATGTAATTCACAATCTGCACTTCAAACAAATTTCTACTAAGTGAAGCTGAACACCTAGATAAAAAGACAGCTCAATTTCAAAACCGTCTACTATATTAAATATTAGAAATTTTTAATTTACTTATGACCAGTCACTTCAGATGATTCAGCCAAAAAATATAGATTGAAAGTTTTAATGAACAACCAGTATCGACTTGAGAACTTATGTGAACATAGTTGAGGTAGATCAATTCTTATTCATATGCAACAGACTCATCTAGCACTAGCATTGTTGGCCATGGTGACACTTGAAATGGAAGTCGGAGGGAGTTTAGAGTTGATAGTCGAGGTAGGGAGTGATGATAGGAACTGAAATGGAAAAGTAATTATGAATATAGTGGTCTTGAGTGCTGTTAAAGGTATGATGGCGGTTATCACTTCCCGGTTTCCCACACTGTGGAAGAGTCCTTCTAAAGGTACCTGAAAAGAAAATTGGATTAGAGGTGGTTTTAGTGACATGAGAGCGTGACCGCAGTGCCCGAGGGACAACTGCTTGAAGTCGGTCACACACGACCTTTTTGTGAGTAGTTTTCGTGTTAGCTCCGTACTTGTTTGGATCTTACCGCCGGAGAAGGAAATCCGTTGGATAAGGAGAGGTGTGGATTTTTAGGGTTGACCTTTTGTAACCCCATGTTTCCTTTGTGGGAAGGCAGCATAGCTGTTATACTGGTTGTCTGAAGTAAACATCTTTCTGTGGTCAAACCTCTGTACAGTCAGCAGTACGACTTCACCCTCAGACCTTGGGATTGCTGCTTTTAGTCTTACCACTCTTCAACCGACCTGTCTGACATGGTAGGACCTTGAGGAACGATTGTTCCATCAAGTGTAGCCTGATTGGTTCATCACGATAGGCGATCCCGACGACCAAGTCAAGGTAGCGAAAACGGTCAGGACTCAACTAGCTGGGCATAAAAAGATGGAATTACAAATTCTGGCACGTAACCACTATCATTCATATTGAATACCATTTTTTAATAAATAATACTATTACTTGTAAAGAAATTTCTTCCTTTTTTCTATCTTCATCCATAGCTTCAAAGCGTTTTTTCCGAGCTAATCGGATAACTGAAGTTATATCATCTCCAAAATTACGATGCTGTTCTAAAGCTAAATTATGAGCATGAACAAGTCTTGTTAATGCTTCTTCATATTGATTTAAGCCCAAGTGTGCTTGCCCAGCAAAGAAATGAGCTTTTAGATTGTTTTGATCTAAATCAATTGCTTTTCTACAAGAGGTTAGAAAAGAAAATAAACACGGCTAAATGGCAATATGAAGAGAATGTTTCCTAGTTAATAGTCAGTATCAAAACGACTGAGTATTCTTAGAGAGCAATAGATGTTTAAAATGGTCAGAACAGAAATGCAAACAACGCCCTGATTCAAAGTTCCACCTATATTTACGTATTGGTTACCGTTGTAAGGAACGATTTGACTATGAGATGACGACATTCGAAGCTACTTTTACGATTTTATTTATACATGTTGATTGGATGCTTATTAAGTATTCTGGTCTTATTATTATTTTACTATCCTAGTTCTAAGTTTTTATTTGAACCATAATTTGTCGTTATAGCGTTTTTCACTCAAAACCTAGTGCCGATTAACTGTGTACCCAGTATTCCCTTTCCCCATCATTAATGTTGTTTCGTGATAACACTGTTAACTAATTGGTCTGCTGCGTGGTCTGGTTTTGTATGTATATAAACGAATGTCTGAAATATAATGACGAACGTAAACAGGTGAACATTGGACTTAATTTCTTCCCCTTCGTTCGTGGGTAATTAGTATTGGGTTAACTTCTAGGCATATAGTGTCAGTCTTCCTCGTCCTTAGTGTGTATTGGCTGCTCAGAGTCATCTGGGCGTATGAAGTGATTGTAGGATATAACAAGTACATTACGGAAAAACGATGTCTAATAATTTTCAACACTGAGTGATAAGATATTTTAAATTTTCAGGTAGCGTGTACTAGAATGGTTGGGAATAGGTATTGCCAAATCTTAAATTTGTCTCATCGTTTCTGACCTAATAACGGCGAACATTAAGTCAAGATAAGGTTTTTTCGATTTACCACGTTACAAATAAATTGTCAGAAACTGTAAGGTTACCCGGGTCTGACATAGATTAGCTCAAACAAATAAAACTGATGGGTTACAAATAAATAAGTTCTGCTTCTTTGTTTGTCTAGAATTGGGTCATCCAGAATCTCACTAGAATGGCCTAATCAACTAAAAGATATTTTCAGAACTTAGTGGAATCTACGTGTGAACTTAGTGAGTTAACTGAGCAATATGTATCACTTGAAGGTTTATTAGAAATCAAACAGCTGGGGCATAAAACCACAAAGTGACAACATTTGGTTTATTTATAACACATATAGATCCTAGTTTGACAGAGCACCAGAAGCACATCACATAAATGAAATGATAATATTGTGTGAAAAAGGGTCGAATAGTTAATAAATAAATGGGAGAAGATAGTAATTAATAAAAAAATGGTCCAATTACAAACACAAACATAAAGAGAAGGTTTATTTTGTTCTTATGGAGAATGTAAAAGAAAACTACAGCAGGATTGATATTGGCTTCTGATAATATCTTAAGCTACTGAACTTTACGGTCTACGAGACTCCTATCGAGTAGTTATGATGGATCACTAGCTGCTGATCCTATACGGCTATTTTTCATACTACATCCCCACGTCGTTAATTAACTTCCCTTTTTTGCACCTAATCTGAGTGTCGGTAGATAAGACGAGGTGTGTAAGCTTCTAAAATGATATTAGGAAACCACATCCAATTAATCGAACTTGGTGTTTCAGGATGATGATACGAAATAATAACAATAGTTTATTCTTAAATAACAGTTTGTTACATGAGGCATGCCAGTTTACAGGCAAGGCACGAAGTCAATCATCATCACTGATCTCGGATACATGATACCTCACCTTACTAATACTAATCTAGTGCACTAGTTGCACTTCTTCGAAACACTGATAACCGAACACCTTCGGTTCAGAGGGACCAAGTTTTACGAGCACAAAGCAAAACTTCTTACTGATGTTGTAAAGCCGATTTTCACAGACAGAATAACATAATGACGGCGCCAAAGATGTCCGGAATTGTGATAGAGAGCTCTGGCTTTTACTAAGTATAGACTGATCTCATCTGTCACGTCACCAACAGGATACACAAGGCCCAAACACACTGACATTTCAACTATTTCCATAGGCTCACTTCAAAAGGTAAGTCCATAACATGGTTCTGTGGCCTTTGGAGTACGTTGCATTTCAAAGTTAGAAAAGTACATGCCATACATACAAACTAACTGGGACTGATTAAAAGTAGTATGAGTGGGTTGTACATCACCACACAGTAAAACAATGTCGTGTGAGTACTTGAAGTTGAAAAGTCCTTTTCCAGAGATAAGATATCCATCAACACCAATTATTTACTTCAGAGCTGTTTTGCAAAATGCTATCGGTGACAAAATGTTGTGACATACACTGCGGAAATCACCAAACTTCATCACGAGGCAAGCGATAACTTGAAATCCTGAAGGGAAACGGAAAAGAAGGCCGAAGAACACACTGCGTCGGAATTGGAAGCAGACATGGAAAGGATGAATAGTAAGTGGAAACAACTGGAAAGTATTACCTAGGACGAAGTTGGATGGAGAATGCTGGTGAACGTCCTACGCTCCTCCATGAGGGTTAACGGGTGTATATAAGTGAGATAAGCCATATAAAGTTGCTCCAAAATGTTTTCGGCACTAGAAATTTAGCTATGTGGAGCAGAATCCCGCCAAGCATCCGATAGAGTAGAACATTTAGGCTTATATAGCGAACACTCTACATCCTGAGTCTTACTACACGATTTGCGGACCTTTGAGGCAATCGAATATTTCTCTCACTAAATTATGTACTTGGTCTTGCTCAGACCACGAATCATTCATTTACATCAGGTAATTTCATCTTACCACAGTTGCCGATTTTCGTTGTTTCTAAGAAGAAAATGGTGGTAGAATAAAGAAACTGAAGTCTATATGCAAAACCTAGCGGCTGTTGAAATGGAATACAATTCAATGATAGGAAACATGCTTTTTAAATACTGTTGGCATTATCTACATTACGAAAACGAATTATTTTAGGGGTTTGAAACAACCCCGTGCTTGACCAGATTACCAATAAGAGGCTTATTCAGTCTCCCTGTGAATAATTCCTAAAATCAGAAGATCTAAGAGCTATGAATCTATTGAGTTGAATTCATTATGAGACTTGCAAATGAAATCTATGCATGTTACATAAAATGTATGGTTCATTGCCTAATACAAGTTATCGAGTTTGACTTACTTTTGTAGGAAATATTCATGATACAAATGTCTGACACTGGTTTTAAAGGCTGTCTAGACAAAGGATTACATACATAAAAATTACAGTAAGATTCAGATTTATAAAGTGGTTATGTGAATTATTCCTGGACAAGTAAAACGTTTCAAGCAAAATAAGATGATCAGTAGTCCCATTATAATATTTGGCTGAAAGCAAACACTTTGGTTCCAAGTGTGACAGTAAGCAAAAGACTAGACGCTGGTAGCTGGGACCTAACCATTAACGTTTATCAGTCCAATTTATAATTTTTGAGTATCGTGGCAAAAGAAGTAACATCTAAGTGCATGTCAAAAATAGTTGAATTTGAAAACATCTGTTAATTAAAGATTAAAATAGGATTTATTTGTGTCAGTTAGTTTATTAATAAATTTACCACCCACATCCAAAAATTATTAGTATCCCAAAACAAAGTCGTATGTTACACGAATTCCTCCAAGTAGTACGAACAACAACCTATCCTTTATTAACCTCGCGTTTGTTTTCCAAAAACGTCTTATTATTATATATACAACTGATAGAATTTTATAGTTCTAATCACGAGCCAGTGTTTTTAGTGGGGAGATTGAGATATCAGTCCCGATCGAAGCTGCTACCTTGACGCGGTGGTCGGGCTTGCCTATCGTGATGACCCAACCGAGCTATATTGGCTGGAACATATGTTCCTGTAGGTTCTACCATGCCAGGCAGGTCGATTGGTGAACGGTAAGACTAAAAGCAGCAACTCAAGGTCTGAGGGCGAAGTCGTACTGCTGACTGTAGAGGGGTGTGACAGCAGTAAGGTGTTTCCCTCGGACAACCAGCATGACAGCGATGCTGCCTTCCCACAAGGAGGGGTGGGGTTAGAAAAGGTCGACCCTAAAAATGTCACACCTCACCTTACCTCACGGATTTCCGTCTCCGGCGGTAAGGCCCTTTGAAGAACGGAGCTAACACGTCAAAAACCTTCCACAAGCAGTTGTCCCTTGGGCTCTGCGGTCACGCTCCCAGGTCGTCAAGACCAACACTAATCCAATTTCCTTTTCAGGTTCCTCAAGAAATACCCTTCCACGGTGTGGGCAGCCGGGAAGTGACATCAGCCCTCATACCCGTAACAGCACAAGAGACCAAGGTGGTCACATTCAAATCCTTCCTACACCTCCTAATACCTCTCTTATCTCCATGACTAACCCTCCTCACGTCTCTTTATCACCTCGCACCGCTAGGGCAAACGATTCGAGTACGTGGAACGCCATTCCTGGTCTCCTGAAACCACGCTCTAAACTACACGTAGGAGCTTTTAACGTACGAACACTTTGCCAAATAGGACAGCAGGCTTCCTTAGCTAAAACTTTAGAATCTCGCGCCATCGATGTGTGCTGCGTCTCCGAAACGCGCATACAGGATCCAAGTAGCGTCATTCATTTGACCTCACCATGCCAAAATAAAGAACCGACTCGATTTACGCTTCGTGTATCTGGAAGCCCTGATTCTGCTTCCCGTGGCCTCGCCGGCGTAGGTATAGCATTGAGTCCTAGGGCAGAACTAGCTCTCTTAGAGTGGATCCCAGTAGACAGTCGTTTGTGCGCTGTCCGACTGAACGGAACAGTAAGAATCCGGAAAGATAGGGACACTCGTCGTTGCCTCTTCGTCGTCTCTGCCTATTCTCCCACTGACTGCAGCTCAGATGATGTAAAAGATGAGTTTTACAGAAAGCTTTCGGACCTTCTCCGAAAAGCTAGCGCTCGGATGTAGTAATAGTGGCCGGTGACTTTAATGCTCAAGTAGGTAAACTAAGCGATAGGGAAAGACACCTAGGTGGATCTTATGGTGTCGTGGCTCAAAGAACAGATAATGGCGACCGTCTGTTGCAGCTATGCTCAGATAACCGCCTGTTCCTTGCAAATACTAACTTTAAGCATAAGGAAAAACATCTTTTAACATGGCGACCCCCTAATTCGTCCCAACGTTGGACCCAAATAGATCACATCGCTATCAGCCACCGATGGAGGGGCTCGATAGAAGACTGTCGCTCATTCTGGAGCACATGCCTAGATTCAGATCATGCTCTAGTGCGAGCGCGTATTTGCTTGCGTCTTACTGGACGTAGGAAAGACGCTGCAAGGAAACCTCTTAGGGCCTACTTAATGATAGTCAAGCTAAGAGTATATTTCAGGAACAACTAGGAAAACAGTTAGGCAGCCATGTATGTGATGCCCACCCCGATGCAGCATGGAATGATATCCGAAAAGCTGTGGAAACAGCAGTGATATCTGCTAGTAAGGTAAACCAGAAGGTTAGGGAGCAACACTGGATCTCAGCAGCATCTATCGCACTGATAGATGCTCGGAAACTCATTCCACCTGGCTCTGAACATAATGAAGAGCGGAGTCAGCTTAAGCGCAAGCTGACAAGAAGTCTACGCAATGATCGCGAACAGTGGTGGGTAGCGAAAGCAAGAGAGATGGAAAAGGCAGCGGCAATAGGTAATAGCAGACAATTGTTCAGACTCGTTAAGGAAACCGGAATTAGGAACCCGACCGTTAGCGAAACAATCTCAGAGAAAGATGGACATATTATTCATTCTCAATCCAGGAGATTGGATCGATGGGCAGAACACTTTAGGGATCAGTTCAACTGGCCTTCAGCCACACTTCGGTTTCCCACGATCTCTAGTCAACCTGAATGGCAAGTTAATGTAGGTCCTCCGTCCCTTTACGAAGTTGAAAAAGCCATAGGAAATCTGAAACGAGGGAGAGCAGCAGGCCCTGACAGGTTTACTCCTGAGATTTTTAAGGATGGTGGTCCAGTATTAGCAATGAGATTAACCGAGGTCTTAGGTAGAATTTGGGAACTGGACGTAATCCCATCTGACTGGTCTCAATCACTGATTGTGCCAGTCTATAAGAAAGGACAAAAGTCCTCTTGTGACAATCACAGAGGAATCAGTTTGACTAATATAGTGTCTAAAATATTAGCTTCAATAATACTTCGACGCCTAATCAAAGCTCGTGAAGAGCAGATTAGAGAAAACCAGGCCGGTTTTCGACCTGGACGTGGTTGTATAGATCAGATATTCACACTACGTCAGGTTCTAGAACACAGACACACATTCAGACGCCCCACAATGGTAGTATTTCTCGACCTTAAGGCGGCATTCGACTCTGTTGATCGTGAGGTTCTATGGCAGTGTTTGTCACTGAAAGGAGTACCAAAGAAGTACATTAACCTTATAAAGGCTCTCTACTCGAACACAACTGGTAGAGTGAGAGCTTATGGCGAACTGTCATCAGAATTGATTACCTCAAGTGGTGTTCGTCAGGGCTGTCCACTCTCCCCATTCTTGTTCAACTTTGTCGTTGACGTACTTTTAGAGATAACACTCTCCTCATCTAAATTTCCAGGGGTTGAACTTCTACCAGGAGGTTCACTTGTTGACTTAGAATATGCTGATGACATAGTTTTATTTGGTGAAGACGCTGACAAAATGCAGAGTCTTCTGACCACTCTAAGCAACAATGCAAGCATGTTCGGGATGCGATTCTCTCCCTCGAAATGCAAAATGTTGCTTCAGGATTGGGTTACATCGACACCCGAACTAGTGATAGGGAGTGAAGTAGTTGAGTGTGTCGACCGCTTCACTTATCTTGGAAGTCTCATCAGCCCTTGTGGTTGGTGTGTGACGAAATCTCAGCACGGATACAGAAGGCTCGACTAGCTTTTGCCAACTTGCGTCATTTATGGCGTAGGCGAGATATCCGTCTATCAACCAAAGGACGTGTTTACTGCGCAGCAGTTCGTTCCGTCCTACTTTATGGCAGTGAAACATGGCCGGTAAGAGTAGAGGATATTCGTAGGTTACTAGTATTTGATCATAGGTGTCTTCGAAACATTGCTCGTATATCATGGGACCATCGAGTAAGTAACACAGTTGTTAGGAAACGGGTACTAGGTAAGGATGGCAAATCAATTGATGAAGTAGTGAAACTTCATCAGTTGAGATGGCTGGGACACGTGTTACGTATGCCCAACGACCGACTGCCTCGACGTGCTATGTTCAGTGGTATAGGAGTAGGTTGGAAGAAAGCTAGGGGCGGCCAAACCAAAACATGGCACAAGTCCATGAAGTCACTGACAAGTGAACTGAGTCATGTTGGTAGGTGTAGACTACCTGGTTGGGGACCGCGAGATGATAGCAACCGATGGTTAGAGACCCTGAATGACATGGCTCAAAATCGTTTGCAATGGCGCAGGTGCATCCACTCTCTTCTCTAGTTTCATCCATTCCTTCCAATGCACTAGTGTTTTAGGTTTCATTGTTACTACGGTTATTGATGGAATAACTCACACTGTTCTCCCAAATTCTAATCTTCTTATTCCTCCTTGTCCCTTTTCTCCTCTTTCCAAATTTATTTCACTGGATTATACTCTTTAAATAACATCTCCAAACCCTAATCTTCCCGATTAATGCTTATACTTTTATTACCTCTACCACTACGGGATTTGAATCGACAACTGCATCTCTGTGTTAATGTGGTGTGGCAACTCGAACTGATGTACGTACGTATGAAGTTCTACGTTGTTACTGACTGACTGACTGAGATATCAGTAATCGGTTCTAGAAAAAATACTCCCTGTAAATGAAATATTACTCTGAGGCTGTGGTTGATAAGATTTAACATACGTTTATTCATCCATCTATTTACCTCACACTAAAACACGTGACTCCCATTGAAACATCCAAGACAGTGTACACAGGGATTGCTATATCATAGCATTCTCTAGTTCAGTACCAAAGGGACTACATTCAAAGAAACAAAAACAATATAGTACCACACTTTATGAGATAAGACTACGATTAGTTTAATCAACATAAGACATAACGTTTTACTTAATTAATCCGACGGTAAAACTCTAACCATAAGTCGAGACTGATAGTATCGAGTAATAAATACTTTTCGTTGAACTGTATACCTTATAATGTTAACTCGAAGCTTTCTGACCTTGTAATTATAAAATCATTAGAATGATTAAATACATGCGTCTTCGTAAACGTTTTAGTTAACCTTCCACAATTTCGCTATTATCAATGTATTGAAACAATATAAATCACGTTTATGTAATTTACTGATCACATATGATTTTAAAAGATGAAATTGTTGGTCTCAAAACTAGGACTGTTATCTCACTTTTTAAAGTTAATATTCTAATAATTCAATGATTATTAGTACGCTAGCAATGTCTTTCAACAGATTATAAAAGCAAATCATTATTTATTAACCAATTCACCCAGATATACACGCAGACTAATGTCGCCACAAAGTACTAATAATACTAAAATTCGCTGAAATAAATTTGTCACAATCGAAAGGCAATTTCAACAAGTTATTGTAAGTTTATACAAACCTGCAATCAGATAAAACTTTTGAATAATCTTGCATTTGAATATAACACAACGCTCTGTTTGAATAATACGAAGAAATATTTGGTTGTTGGGTGATAGCATGTGTATAGCATTGAACTGCTTCGTTGTATTGACATGAGTTGAACAGTTGATTGCCCATGTCTTTCAACGATTGATGGGTAAGTGTGGATATATCAAGACCTCTTAAAATATTTGACATGGTTGAAATAGTTCCCCTATAAGTAAAAAGTAAAGTAAGGTTTACAATTCCGCTTAATAAGGAATAAAGAAAAACGATGATTCAAGTTAATCACGGATCGTTTTACCAGAATGACGAAATTTTCAGATGTGTATGAAGTCATCACTCGTACTGAGATCCGAATTCTAGAATGACAAAAACGTCAAGAAACCACATCCAGTCATTGAAATACACGATATTGCTCAGGCTACATAAAAATTGGACATTTGGATAGGCGCAATTACAAAAGTTCAATACAGAGTTCCTACGAGATGAGTTCAACATAGATCACTGCATCAACTTCCAAGCCCTACAAGATCAATTAGAAGGGACGACTATAGAGAGCAACTGGAATGGGATTACAGAAACATGAACTTAAAAATGCCGGGTGTCGCTACCTATAGAGCATCAATCAGTTAGCCAGCACAAATAATGGGTCTCTGTAAACGTTCTAGGCACGACTGAAGAAAGGAAAAACAAGAAGATTGCAGTCAAGACTATTCAAACAATAGCAGAGAAAGACACAGGTCAAATACGCAAAAGCAAACAAATGAATGAAGAGCATCACAGCTGGAAAGTGGAAATATGCAGACCTGACAAATACTGTAGAAAAGCTGCAAGCAAAGGAATTTCGGAAGAAACATATAATATAATCAGGGGAACAGTAGGAAAATATGGTTCACAAGGACGACTAGTCAGCGATAAAAAAGGAGAACCAATCACTAAGGATCAAAAGGAGAAGAACAGGTGGGTAAAACACTTCGAAGAACTCTTGAATAGACTGACTAGGGTTACATTATTACAACTGGAGGGTATCTGGAACTCAAAACAACTATCAGTCAACATCAAAGTCGGAATTTTCAGCACAAACGTCAAAACATTTCCAGATATTGGAGCTGAAACTTGCAGGACTACTACAACTATCATTATCAAAGAAGTACAGTTATTTATAAACAGCTATCTACGTAAGATACTTTAAATCCACTGACCAGACGCTACCAGCTATAACCTACTGTGGCAGAAAACGGACCAGATGCCAGCTGAAGAGGAAATTAGGGAAAGACTTTGGATGTGGATAAGACAAATTTTACACAAACCATCAAGCTGTAACAAAAAGCAAATCCTAACCCGAAATACTGAAGGCTGAAAGGAAAGAGGGTGACAAAAGAACACATAGTCCCGGGGATCGGAAGCAGGCACTATGAATTTAAGTACCACTTGGTAACAACTAGAAACGTGAGCCCAAGATAAAGTTGCTTGGAGATGACTGGCCGGTGTGTTGTGTACTATGACATAGACGGCTTAGAAAAAAGTGGAATTCTCTATTAAGTCAATAAGATAGATGGGCTCAGTCTTTTGTTGATTATTTGCTTAGATAGATATAATGACTAACCATTTAATCGTCACCTCCCGTAACCGTTTGCCAAACTCAATACTAAACCTGAAGTAAGTGTCTGCACCACCATTGTAACCAATTTGAAGCCATGTCACCCGACACCTCCAACCATTGGTTACGGTGATTGTGCTAACGGCAAACTACCCACCTACCAACACGACTCAGCCCAACAGTGAATGACTTCATAAACTTGTACCACATCTTGGATTGGTTACCCCTAGCTTTCCTTCAAATTACCCCTACACCAGGAAACAACGCGCGTCGAGGTAGAGGGTGGTTGGGCATACGTAATACATGTCCCAATCACATCGATTGGTGAAGATTCACTACCTCATCAACCAGTTTGTCATTTCTATCTAGTACGCTATGTCTAACTCGAGTATTACTCGCTCTATTGTCCCAATATACGCGACCAATACTTCGAGGGCATCTATGATCAAATACTATTAGTAAGCTACATATAGGTATTAAAGCGCATAAATAATAAAGGATATGAGTAGTCTGCAATTATTCGGTCGCTCTCTGTAGGACCACCAGATTGCCAAGTAAATTTTGTAAGTTGGTTAATACTTTATACGAATATTCGTCAAGATTAGAACGAATAGTTTGACAGTAATTGGTTAATACTGTTGTGAAATCTTATCAACACATGTACGTAAGCTGCATCACACCCTGATAGGTTATGTTGGTTAGATAGTCACCCCTGTCTTTTTACATTCTTGTAGATCAGCAGAAAATCGTCGGTCACTTCTAACCATTTTGGTTGATAATGCTCTTCGATCTAGCACTTCCTCACTTTTGGATATTTTACTACTTCGACAGCTAGTATACATTTTCTGTCTTGATTCTATTCCTGTCCTACAAGAGTAAGTGCCTTCAAATATTCTTTTCTCGGAAGAATATATAACTTTTATTTATTTATTGCTGTCCATATATGTGGCGGTTGTATTTGATATCCTGGTCCTTTTATAATTACCTGCTACCTTGGTTTAGTGACTCATGTTGTTGGCCTCACCTCGCCAAAACGGAGAGCTGACGACATACATCCTCCGTGTATCTGGCCACCTGAAGGTTAGTTTTCGTGGACCGGCAGGTGTAGGTATAGCACTAAGTACGAGGGCAGAACAAGCACTATTAACTGAAATCTGGGAGTTGGACGTAATCACATCTGATTGGTCACAATCACTGATTGTCCCAATATATGAGAAGGGTCAAAATCATCTTGTGATAAACATAGAGGGATTAGTTTGGCTAATATAGCATCTAAAATGCTAGCTTCAATACTTATCGGGCGGTTAACAAAGACTCGTGAACTGTAAACACGATAAAATCAGGCTGGCTTCAGAGTTGGTTGTGGCTGCATCGACCACATATTCACTATTCCTCAGGTTTTAGAACACAGACATGCATATCGGCGTCCGACAACGATAGTTTTTCTTAACTTGAAAGCAGCATTTGACTTTGTTGACCGAGAGGTTCTGTGGCAGTGTCCGTCATTGAAAGATGTACCTCAGAAGTACATAAACCTTGTGAAGGCTCCTTACTCAAACACTACTAATCGAGTGAGAGCTTATAGCGAACTGTCATCTGATTTAGCAACCTCAAATGGTGTTCACCAAGGCTGCCCACTATCTCCAGTTTTGTTCAATTTCATCATTGACCTACTGCTGGTAATAACGATTTCGTCATTTGAATTTTTGGGAATCGATCTCCTTCCAGGAGGTCCACTTATTGACTTAGAATACGCAAATGACATAGTCCTGTTTGGTGAAGACGCTGATAAAATGCAGTCTTTTGGTAGTACAGAACAATACCAGTATGATTGGGATGCGTTTCTACTCCTCTAAATGCAAGTTGTTGCTTCAGGACTAGCCTGCATCAACACCTGAACTAAGGATAGGGAGTGAAGTAGTCGAATACCTTGTCAACTTCACTTATCTTGGGAGTCTGATCAACCTTAATGTGTTGGTGTCCGATAACATCTCTGCACGGATTCAGAAAGCTCGTTTGGCTTTTGCTAACTTACGTCACCTATGGCGAAGGCGAGATTTTCGTCTATCAATTAAGAGACGAATATACTGCGCGGCAGTTCGTTCTGTCTTACTTTACGGCTGCGAAACATGGCCATTAAAAATAGAAGATATTCGTAAGCTACTAGCATTTGACCACAGATATCTTAGAAATATTGTCCTCATCTGCTGGGATTACCGGGTAAGTAATATTGAGGTTAGACATAAGGTATTAGGGAATGATGGTAAATCAGTTGATGAGGTTGTGAATCTTCATCGACTGAGATGGTTGGGCCACGTGTTGCGTATGCTTGAACACCGATCACCACGATGCGCAATGCTGGCTAGTGTTAGGGATGGCTGGAAGAAAGTTAGGGGCAGACAAACCAATACGTGGCATCAGTGCTTGAAGTCATTAAATCCTGGTCTGAGCCATGTTGGTATATGCAGACTACTTGGTTGGGGTCTGCATGACTATCGTGACCAATCCTTGGAGACTCTTGGTGACATGGCTCAGAATCTATCACAATGGCGTCGGTGTATACACTCTCTGTCTTCCCCTAAACTATGAGATTAAAATCGCTTCACATCTTCCTTTCTACGAACTAATTCTTTCTTCCTGTACTATGTCCTTATATGCAATCTTTCTTTTATAAATTACCACCACTGAATTAACTACTTCTATAAATCCGGTGTTCATCTTGTTGTGCTAATGACCGATGCACATATGTCCCTGGTCTTACGCTGTAGTTGACTGACTGAATGAGTCACTGGACAATGCGTTAAAATAGTGTTGATCCACTGGTAATTGTCAAAAATAATCATTGAATCAGCAAATGGCATACTGGAGGAAATAGTGATTCATTTAATTGTGATAAGTGGGAAGAACATATAAAGAGCAACAATGTCATTACGATTATGCGACAGAAGAAACGAGTTTAAATGGTGAGTGTGCTAACCACTGGTTGATGGCCACTCGATTTAAAGGGTTTTTGTACTGCAAGTTTGTCACTCATTTTATAGTAGGCTCCGCGATATTAAGCAACAGAAGTTAACTCTGAACCAGACTCAAAATTCGCGTCATTGGACTATATATTTGCATGTAGTAGAAACTATCGATTTGAAGGACCTTATACTCGATGGTTTTTTTACACGTAAATGGGATCGCAACACGTTGATGCGACACACGAAACATTTAATCTACGATGAACCATGTTTTTTTCTATAACCAAACTCTCTGCATCTGGTGGTTTGTTAGAAATAACTGACTGACTTTTTTTAACAAGTTTGAAGTATATCACGCATATTAGTTTAATGAACAACTAAGTGTCTCTTGTGGAGGTTAGTATCCAGCCAGACAGTACTTTGTGTACTAGGGGACGATGAATGAATTTTATCCTACTCACTCACACCACTCTGCATAATAGAGTAAGTAGGGCGAGTTGACAACCGAGCAATCGCACACAATGTACGTATATTTAATAGGGAGGCCGAGAGACAATAACCACCAATAAAATGAGCCCCAACTCAAGGCAGTCTGGAGATTGAAACCAGTGTGGTGTATAACTCGATCAGTTGTTTGGAATCGCCGTTATAGTAAATCCTCCGATGAGATAAGTAAGCATTTTCAGCTCAACCAACTTCTAGCTAACTATTACTGCCTAAAATACGAGATATCGATCAGAACAATCAATCAATCAGTAGTTTTAAACCAAAGGTCGTTTCTATTTACCGTATTGCTAATGTTACACTAGAAGTAGGTAGTCTGACAAGTTTTAACTTACTTATGTTGGCGGTTTCAATATTCAATAGTATGTAGGTTCAATTTTTGTTATAAGTTGTGTAGGTGTATAAAAGGGTTCTACTGCCACCCGCTGTCAGTAGAAGCAAAATACAGGAAATGCTATTCTGATCCGTGAATGATTATGTTTTGGTTTATTCAATGTCACTTTGAATATGTTTAAAAGAATGATTCGTCACAGTTATGGGACAAAAATTTGCATTTCCTTGACACTTCCAATATCCACTTTCTTTGAACGAGCTAACACGACCCAGCTTAACTTCTTTCTGTCAGTATGTCAGTTTACGAGACGTTTTTACTTTCCATAAAGTTTTATTCAGTCAATCGACTATGACACGTGGTGATTCAACAGGTGGTTGGGTGTCGACACTGTAGTGGTAAGTAAATCCATGAAGTAAAAAGCTTTGTAGGTCTTTGAAAATGACGCTGATCTTATTAGTTTTATCCGGTTCACCACTAGCTGAAACACCTTGAGTAAGCATCCTCTGTGGACCACATTTCGATGAGCTACGTAGCCCATAACCCATGATAAGTATGTAGCGGTAAATAAATCCCCAAAATTAGCATTTGTGAAAGTCTTCGATATTCCA